CGTATCACGTGCTCCCGGCATTGTTCGATTTTACACGGAGCCGGCATTGTTATCCCCGCAATTATCCATTCACGGGGAATTGTATATTCGGAAACACAGTATCAGCTTTCGCCCGTAATCAATGCCGCGGAACAAACGTTAACAACGCCGCCGACGAACTTGTACTTCACGACGAAAGAAAAATTCAACGATGAAAGAAGGGTTGAAGGTGGGGGTGGGCGAGATAGGGAGAGAGAGAGAGAGAGAGTTACGTAAATCCGGAGCTATTTACTTATCCATCTTTTGTACTCCCCGCCAGGGCTATTCATCCTTTGTCAGGAATTCCCGTCTTCGATTAACGATATCGACGGCTTACCGGAGCCACCCCTCTTCCGCTGTATGAAAGAGTGGCTACATAATGCAATATTCTTCGAACGGCCCACCGTGATTTTACATAATTCTTGTTAAATGAGAATTATCGAGAGTGCGGGGGCGATATCTTTTGTCAACGGCCGGTGGCTTGGGTCCGTGGGATTTGCTGGGTTCGATGTTTCTTTTCGATGGGTTAACACGTTCGCTACCAGCGTCACATGTTTGTGACGGCCGTAATCCTATATTTTACGTAATGAAAATCAAATTAATCCTACGGATATTGTTATTAGAAGTTATAAACTACGACATTATATTCAGGAACTCAATGACTCGTTTCAGTTTCATTTTTCTAATACTTTGTTTAGAGGATTTATTGGATTGCAGAAAATATAATTGAGGAGACCGTCACCGAAATAAATAGCGAACGTGTTAATTGGTTTTTATTTCGAGTTTCGGCGAATACTGTCGTGAGAGTGGAGATCGTAGGAGTTATGGGACTTCGCGTGTGAATAGAGCGTGTCGAGTGTATTGGAATTTTTCTTCGTGCTGGATTTTAGTTGGAAGGGGTGACACCACCCCTTGGAGGGGTGTAGGTTTTTCTTTTGAGTGGATTGTGTTGAGAACGATAAGAGATTGGGAAGGAAAGTTTAAATGGAGAATATATTGTCCTCTTACGTGTACGAAGGTTTATTGGGATTTTAGTAAATTTTATAGAGGTGGAAGAATAATGGATTATTAAATGTGTTTTTTGGATTTTAGTAAATTGTATATTTGTAAAATATATAGATGTGTCAGGATTATGGATTATTGAATGTATTTATCAAGATTTTAGTGAAATTTTATAAATGTCACAGGATTATGGATTAATAAATGCATTTATTGAAATTTCAGTAAAATTCTATAAATATGAAAGGAGAATGTATTTTTTGCCGAAACTTTTCTCGCTATATCTTACTGTTCTCAAGATAATCCAGGGGAAGGAACAATTGACATTCTTTTCAAGGGGTAGTTTAACCCTTTTAACGTGAAAGGCACGAGTAAAAATTGCTATGAATTAGGCTTGACTTACTTCACTTACACACGAAGTTTTATAATTTATAGAATTTCCGGATTGAATAACTTCCCTTGTTGTCACAAGGTATGTAAGTATCCTTCCAAATCGAGCCTAAAGAATCTCAATCGTCCACAGATAAGTGAACATGAATTTTTCAACTGATAATTTCTTGATAATCTAAAGAAGGTAATTTCATGCTTTGACAAATTACCAAAAACATCCTCCAAATCCAACAATAAATAAAAACACGAGGTATGGAAGTATCCTTCCAAATCGAGCCCAATGAATCTCAATCGTCCACAGATAAGCAAACATGAATTTTTCAATTGATAATCTCTCGGAGCGCGCCATCAACGAAATTGCAGAATTTCGACGGAAGTGACGGACACGTCCTATCCGGTTCTTTGAAGTCGCCCGATTATTCGACGCGATCGGAGTCGGTCGGACAAGTCGGGCCGAGTTCAGTCAGATACTCGCAATCAAACTGTCATCCGGGGATCGTCTCCAAAGCAAATCCGATATTGTGTACGCGGTGCATCTGCAAGTATGAACAATCAACGCGGCGGCGTAGCCCAGCGCTAAGTCACAAAGGGAATCGCAAAGTGCGTTAGTATTGCGTCCAGATTGTCCCTCCACCTCTCTCTCCACGGATCGCAATATAATTCGGGGATGTAACATTGTATCCGAGGGCTGAATTACTCCCGTCTCGGCTATCTCAGGGACGTCTGTCTCTCTCTATCTCCCTCCGGTTACCGGGAATCTCGGGATATTTCGCTAATAATTTCCGTTTGATTCCGCGCAGGACACTGGTATCCTCTGGACCTTTGTGTGCGGCTCATTGAACACCACGGGAAAAGAAATGCGATAGGGAGAATTGGAATATTATATGGAATTTTAGTTTTCAATCGTTCAGGTGAATGTTTATGTGTTTTTTGGGTAAATATTGTTGATTGGCGTGGCGCGTTAAAGGTTGGAGAGAAAGAAATGGGGGAAGACTTTGAATTTTATTTGTTAACCCTTTAAGTGGAAGTTTGTACGGTTTTTTGGTAAATATTGTTGATCAGTGTGATCAAATTATCAATTGTATGAGGAAATCAACACTGAAAAAACGTACTGTTGACAAATAGTGGAAAAATATACTTCACAGTAATATTCTGATGACGAGGATAAAGTGGAGGTCCAGACGGCTCAGTTTCTGTCTCCTGAAAGCGTGCTTTCAGGTTAAAGGTTGAGGGGTTTCTCTAGACTGAAGGTAGAGGTTGAGAGGTTCTCGTGGGGTGAAAGTAGAGGTTGAGAGCCCGTCTCCAATGAAAACGTCGGGTTGAGTGAATCTTTAAAATTAACTGGCAATAAACCGG